CCGCTACCGCTACCACTACTGCTGCTACTACTACTACTACTACTGCTGCTGCTGCTACTACTACTACTACTACTACTACTACTACTACTACTTCTACTACTTCTCCTCCTACTCCTACTCGTACTTCTACTCCTGCTTCTACTGCTACGGCTACGGCTACCACTACCTGCTGCTGCCACTGCTACTGCCACTAGTTAGCAAGAAGAAGCGTAGTAGTCGCTGTCGCAGATAGTAACTGTGGCAGTAGGTGGCGTCATAAGGCCATCAGCAACAGCACCATTCTGATTGTCTCGGATACTGATAACAATCATAAAAACAATGATACTGATAACCCTGTTACCAAAAATATTACTAAGAGTCATATTATTAGAACAGTTTGTATCGGTCAGTCCTGCATCTCCTGTAGAAACCCCACAGCATGCTCCCAGTGGCCCTCACAACAGTTGATGGCTGCGTTGTATGCCACGACGTCCATGAGGACCACCTGGCCACCTGGCAGTCGAGGCAACGACGCAGGGAGGTTCTTGCACCTGGTTCTGCTTTTTATTCGCACCTTGAAGGCAATTCCTGCACGAATTTTGCTTACGGAAGGAAGGCCGCTGCTGGCCAGAAAGGTGTCTTCTACATCTACGATTTTCGTTTGTAGCTTTCACATGTTCTTCGAAGGTCCGAGTGCATGATGTGCAAGGGACCCATGCGAGCACCTTGCCGATGGGGAATGTGCATTTCCGGAGTGGTACCTACCAGTTCGCCATCTCTTCAGTAAGGGGCATTTTTTGCCCGCTGGGCCGGTGCAATAAAGTCAAGGACAATCCAGATTGCGGGTGGCGTGCTTGCGGTTTCAAGAATCATGGCTATCGTTCTGTCCTCCGGTTCTCGTTTTTTTAACACATGTTGCAACACAGAGGTGTCCGAAGTCGTCGGCCGAGCAACGCATCAAAGCTACCAGCTCCATACCCTTCCTCCAGGCTCCCGAGCTGGCGCAGGTGGTGATGGCGGAACAGAACTCGATCACACCGGGGGCCAGAAGGAGCTGCAGCATGTCGTCGAGAAGCACCAGGGCCCTGGCAGAGTACTTGGAGGTTCATGGGTAGTTATAAGTGGACTTATAAGTAGGGTAACTATAGTTATAACCCATATTAGGGGACTTATAACCCCACTTATAACTACCCATGACCCTCCAAGTAGACCCCCAGATGTACGGCTCAAGATCCTGACGATTGGGACCCCCGAAACCCCAAGCGCTAAACCCCATGCCCGAAACCAAAACCCCAAACCCTAAACCCCATGGCCGAAACCCGAAACCCCAAACCCTAAAACCCATGCCCGAAACCTTAAAAGGCGAAAGGTCCAAAACTGGGGAGCTCCCGGGCGGAACAAGAAATTCACCGCAGCAGCTGAGCTAACATGCAATCCCCGAAGCCCAGGCTTCAGGATTCGGGGTTTAAGGTTTAGGATTCAGGGTGCAACCACGCCTTGGGGTTTAGGGTTTAGGGTTTAGGGTTTAGGGGTGAGGCTTGAACCCCCAAAAATCCTGAAGGCCTTTGCCACTGCTTCGCCCTTCCACACGCGCTGATGCCAGAACCGAAGGAGACGACGCTCCGCTGGATCGAAGCAAACTCCAGGTCCTGCACAGCAATGGAGGGTTTAGGGTTTAGGGTTTAGGGTTTAGGGTGTCGGGGGGTTCGGGTTACGATTAGAGCAGGAAAAAAAATACGGGTAGCTTTCTAGATCAGGGTCGCTTTGTCGTTTTTCTTAAGTAGGGCACCCGAAAAGAAGGGACCCTAACATGTAACGGGGACCCAATGTAGGGCAATACCCATAAAGTCAACGTATGCCTTGCTTCCTCTGGCACTTTCAAGGAAGTTCGGGTTTAGGGTTTCCAGGATTTCTTGGGTTTCGGGGGTCAGCATGCCCAGAACATGTCGTGCGAGTTCTTCTCTGCATCATGCAGTATGCACCAGTACATTTTGCAGTATGCCGCATGCCAGAAAAGGCATGATGTAATTTATGTGCTCCCAACTCGTCGAGCTACTCACGCAAAGCTGCCAAAGGCTGGGCGCCCTCGAAAGGTGTACAGGGTTTTTCAAGGAAACCCTGGCCCCCGAACCCTGAATCCCAAACAAACTCGCCGAAAGCGTTCATTGACCCACTCTTGCGGGTCAGAACGCCCAACTTGCACCAGCCCTCAATGCTGGCATGCTCGGCTGCACCAGCCAGGAAAATCCCCAAACCGGAAATGCCATGGAAGCTGGCCGAAGCTGGAAGCTGCAGAGCGCCTCGAAAAGTTGCAGCGCTGCTTGCCATTGCTGCTTCTGCCCCAAGGAACCTCGGGTTCTTTAAGGTGGTGAAGCTTGCAATTCAGCAGACAGAGTTTAGGGTTTAGGGTTGTTGAGGATTCGTCCTCAAGCTAGATCCTGGACAGGGTAGCCCGACAGTGTACGCGACTTGCTTGGCAAACTCCCAGCGGTTTCACGCGCAAACTGTGACATGTGGACAACATTGGCAGTCGGGGTGCATAAAGAGACGGCTGGATCGGCTCAGCATCACCATCAGTATCGGCATTACTGCTTGTATCCTTACTGCAACCAGCACTACGGTTGATGGAGGAAATCTTGCACCACCTATTTAACAGCAAGTGACACGACACATGAGCATAACCCAGCACCCCCTTTTTAGTATTGACTACGATGGATACCGACGTGGTGCAAGATTCTTGTCATTTGGAACTTGGAACCCACGGCACTTCGGAGGATCAACAGTCAAATTAAAAAGGGGGCATGGGATCTCTGCTCTGTCGGCTCATGTTGGGTCCTCACTAATTAGAATAGGGTTTTGGGGTCCATTCTACTAGAACTCTAATGAAGAACCCCAAAAAAAAGTATGGCTAATTATTATTTACTATTTAGGCCCCTATATTCGTCTTCAAGTGGTGCCAGATTTCCTCCATCAACAGTAGCACTGGTACTAGCGCTGGTGCGACAGTGCGAGTGCCAGTGCCAGTGCTAGTGCTGGTGCTAGTAGCAACAGCAGTAGCATTAGCAACAGTAGCAGTAGAAGAGCCTGCGGTTGGGTTGCTATTCGTTGATGGTCTGGGGCTTATGCCTTGCAAGAGTCTCAGGGCTCTGACTACCCTACTTGGAGGTTCATGGATAGTTATAAGTGGAGCTATAAGTAGGCTAACCATAGTTATAACCCATATTCGGGGACTTATAACCCCACTTATAACTACCCATGAACCTCCAAGTAGACCTTAAACCCTAAACCCTAAATCCCTATAGATCCTTTATAGAACCCTGTAAGGAACCCTTTAAGGAGGCCCCCATGAACCTCCAAGTAAACCTGAAGCCGAACCCGGTGATGGGAAGGAATCGCAGCCAGGCCCCACAGTGACAACGGCCCAAGGACGTGAATTCCAAGGCAGGGGGCCCAGGGGAAGCTGTCCCACGGTTTAGGGTTTAGGGTTTAGGGTCTAGGGCTTAGGGTTTAGGGTTTAGGGTTTAGGGACTAGGGTTTAGGGTTTTGGGTTTTGGGTCCAGAGCTTCAGGATTGTAGCTCGATCTAAACCCAAAGCCCTGAACCCAAAACCCTCATCCCTAAACCCTAAACCCCTAAATTCTAAACCCTAAACGCTAAACTCAAAAACCCTCATCCCTACAAGCCCCGAAACCCTGAACCCTAAACCCCAAACCGAAAACCCTCATCCCATTTCATCCCTAGACCCGTAAACCGTCCCAGCAGCTGATGGCTGCGTTGCACTGTCGCAGGCCCAGCTTGCCAGCCTGCGCTTAGGTAGGCTCGCCCTTTGGTCGTGGGTACCATAGCAGCCTGAATATTTGGGGCTCCTTATTATAACCCGACTATGATCTAGATACACCCCACAACCCGACTCTGCTTGTTAAGGCCTGATAGAACCGGGGCTGGAAAGGTGAAAGGGCATGGCTAAGGCGGCGTAGGGCTTGGGGTTTAGGGTATGCTATGGGGCGTGGAACTTCGGGCATGTAGTGGAGTGGCTTTGGGATCTGCAACCGGGCAGTCGTCGGGGATGCGGCCAAGGACTGTTCTCATTGTAGCACCTGGATGCGTATGACACCCTGACCCTACTTCCCCCAAAAACCACTACCCTAAACCCGAACGCTTCGCGGCAATCCTTGACCAACCCTTTCATGCTTGCATCCTACTCTTTGTGTGCATGAAAGAAGAGCCCTAATCGAGACCCCTCTGTGCCTGCAGCTGCCGGCGCAGCTCGCCAAAACTCTGGCCCTTGCAGAACCAGTGCGGGTTTGCTTGAGAGTTGAAGGCTTCGGCATAAGGCCTTAAGCTTGCTATTTCTGTGACTTCCAGCCCTACTAGCTGTTCTGCTGACTGTGCTGCCCTAAACCCTAAACCCTAAACCCGGTCAACACATAATGCATGCTCCCGGTGTTGGTGCCACTACACGGTTCTTGACTCTGGGCATCTCTGCACTGCTTGCAATACTTCCGCTTGGAGGTTCATGGCTAATTAGTTATGAATGGGGTTATAAGTCCCCTCATATGAGTTATAATTACAGTTACCCTACTTCTAACCCCACTTATAACTACCCATGAACCTCCAAGTGCTGTCAACTGTCAACGCAACCCGATGAACGTGTGCACCATCCTCAGTCCACGTCTTGCTTGTTGCAGCCGTCACAGTAGCAGTTGAGGGTATTGAGTTTAGGATCTGGGGGCTACCCTATAATGTGATATAACATAATAGATAGAACATACAAGAATAACAAAACTATAATCTCATACAAAGTAGTTTACCGTAGTAGCAGGGTTACAGTTTGAGGGCATCCAGTCTGGAGATCAGGATTCCATGCTTGAGCAGTAAGAATATTGAAGGCTCGAGGAGTGGGATGCAGAAATTGGGTTTAGGAGTTTGGGGGTTTTGGGGTTTAGGGGTTCAGGACAGGATCTAGTGCTTTAGGGATTGAGGGTTTAGGGCTCAGGATTTGGGGCCGCTGCAGCGGCAAGGAACGACCCTACTTGCATCACCCGCATGCCTGCGTGGCCTTGTGCATGGCGCCACAGCTTCCTGAATCATGGCCATGTGCACCGCGCGGCGCCCCTGATGATCAACTTTCAAGGCAGGCTACATATCAAACAAGTCAACGGCGGCAGCTTCAGAAATTCACCAGACGGGTTAGGTCCCAAGTTCTCGTCCACGATTAAACTCCAATGTCAATAGGTCAAGAAGTTGAAATGTGTTTTCCAAGCATCCTGTCTTCATGGAAGCACAGAAGCAGTCGATACAGTCGATTGGTCATGCAGCACTTGGTCATGGTATGCAAAGCAACTGCCAAACGAAATAACGGGAGCCAGGTTTTCGCACAGCATCCTTGTTTGCGAATCATGCCACCGGGATCAAACAACCTTTAGAGAAAACTCGTAGCATTCGCAGCGAGATGCAGGCAATTTGCACTGTACAGCGGCAAAACAACCTGTGGAGAACATAGCACAACTAGATATCAAGATATGACTATATGATATAGGGACTGTAGTTCTAGTAAGATAGTAAAAGTGTACAAAAGGATATTATCCTCCGGCTTCGGGAGTGTTGACCTGCGTGGCTGACCCTACAATGGAACACCTGCACAGTCTGCCTAGGGCCTAGTTTCATCATAGTGTTTGGGGCTGAGGGCTTAGAAAGTTGGTTTCGCATTACTGAGTTTACGGCTTTGGGGTAGCAGATAGTTGCAAGCATCAGGAGCACCCCTACCACTGGCTGCTTCGTTCTGTTACCTCTGAGTGTGCTAGCTATCCGGACATGCACTTGCAAAGTCAGAAAACTATCCACAGTGTTTGCCGAACGACAGTGATGCCACCAATGAAAATACCGGACATGCTGCTAGTGTTGGAGACCATGCCCAGAAGATATGTGAGGACATGGCCAGCACTGTACAACGGGCACCAAAAACGCACGCACATCTGTGACGGCAGGTGCAAAATGATCCACCCAGAAGAAGAGGACATGGGGCTTGGGGCTTGGTAGTTTCGGCTTTAGAAACCCTGAACCGTAATGAATGAAAACTTGTGCTCAGGGGTTCAAGATGAGAGTCCCGACCTCCGTGAGTGAAGGCAGCTTGGAACGAGGGTGCATTGAATTCAGCACAAAGGCACCGCCCTCCCAAAATGACAAGTGCAACGCGTGGCTGCTACCACACTCAGCCGAAAGCAAGCCAGAACACAACCTGCAAAATAAGGCCCGGCGAGAAGAATTAAGTACAATCGCACCTGAAGACTTACCATCTACAACTATGAGTACTAATCACTAAGTATTCAACCAAATTCGATGCCTTCTAGCAAACACTCAACCGGACGCCGTGGCTCGACGACACGACACATGGAAATCAGAAGCTACACTCTGCTGGGAGGGCGGTGCAACATGCGCTCCGTGCATCTTTCTGGGCAATCCCAGGTCCTGCAGGGCCATCTGCTTTAGGTTTGCGGGTTTAGGTCTTCGGGCTTAGGGTTGCTAGTAGCAGCTGCGAACATGATTGCCAACCTCGCTTGTACGATTAAGAGACGACGATCCTCACCATGCAGATAGCTCACTTCTGTTCTCATCCTTATGATGTAGTAGTTGTTGTAGCAGCTTCAGTTGTGGTAGTAGCAGAATAACAAGTACTGGGGATCTACCATGCCAGACACATACCTGGTGTGGCTAAGGCGCATGACCCTAAGTCCAGCAAGATCCGGCCTGAGCCGCATCAAGAAATCAAGTGCCCCCAAAGGTCTGGGCCCTAGGGCTTAGAGTTTTAGGTTTTAGGGCTTAGGGTTTAGGGTTTAGGGTTTAGGGTCGCTTCAGAAAATCTTGAAATGCGAAAGTCAAGGCCAGCTTCGGTATGAAGGGAGTCGGTCGTCAGCGGCAGCGTCGTTGCAGTAGTGGTTGGTAGTATGGTGATTGTTGTTCTTGCAGTTATGATACGTCGGTCACTATGTTTAAGTGGTGACAGTTTTTTCAGAATACGGTTGCAGGGCACATGATTCTTTAACTACAGCGGGGTAGTTCTCTAAATTAGGGTC